TAGAAATGATCAATATAATGAACCGATGGTTAATCATTGATGGTTTCGCTAGTAACTTCGGGTTATTAATGCACAGTCGTGGTTAATAATCTTAAGAGGGATTAATTATGTTGGTTAAATCGAAACCGTTGTGTTGAAGTTATCAATCTCAATTGATTTCATCAAGAAGCTAATGGATTAAATGCTACTATCAAGTCGGTATATGACAGGTTTTTACTTGGCTAATAGTAGGAGTTATTAATGAACGGTCGTTATTTATAGCAACCCTCGATGAATTGGAGATACTCTTGAATTGAGTATGTAACACCCCGGTCCCGCAGGACCCGAGGTAGTTACTCCAACACACCCTGCAGACCTCTAGTAATGTCCTCACAAACTGTCACTAGCCTTTTCCGCGCACTTTGTCCTCACTCGTGCGCGCCCTGAGAAATTTCACAGGGGGTCACCAATCTCAAGACTACTCTCGTGCAAGCACGCTTAACTTTCAAGAGGGGATAAGTCATAGATAAAACCGGGATCAACAAACATATCAACAAGTGGAAAGTAGAAAAACCGAGTCTTTTATTTCATGAATAAAATCATATAAGTCGTTTATCTTAGTGTTTATTAATTAATTAAAATCAAACATTCTCAAAAAAAACCTTTTCAATTACTAGTTTGATAAAAGAAAAGTATTCATTTCCTTCAATACTAGCACTACGTATTAGTGCTAGTATTAAATTTATTTTGAGACACACAACGACATTAGTGTCATCAATTACATTACTAATTTACTACATACTCCGATTGCAATAATGCTAATAACGGTATATTGACTCTTATGCTCTGTTTGGGTAAGGTGAACTTAAGTAAACCCAGTGCAATAAAATAAACCTAAGTTTTAATAAAAACTAGGTTAACTTGAGTGAACCTAGGTTCACGCGTTAAATATTCTTTGGAAATAAATAAGGTCAATCAAGGCTAATGTAATAATTGTTGTTTGGATGAAGGTACTTTAGCTCATGTAATGTTATAGGAGTACGAGAACTTATTCTTCAAAACCCCGGCTTTGAAGGTTCTTTAATTTTAGGTTTTTCTAGATTCTTGGAAGTTATGAGAGGTTAACCCAAATTTGATAATAACCTATATTCTTGTTATAAAAATATAAACAAATGGTGTTAACTACAAATTGAACCTGCAATAACCTAGGTTAATGATGTGCACTTTGTCAAGGTGCGTCAAAATAAATTCCTTACTGGCACTTATACGTAATATAGCGTAACAGAGTTCGTATCCACAGGGAAAGAAATAATTCTCTTTTTATGGAACTAGTAAATAGGGGGGAGGGTTGATTGAGTGATTTAATTAATTTAAATACGAAAATGAACGACTTATATGAGATTTAATTTAAGAATAAAAGAGACTTGGCATTATTGCTACTTTCCACTTGTTGATATATTTTAGTCAATCATTGTTATATCTATAACTTATCCCCTCTCGAATACTCAATCGAAGAGTATATCCAATTCATCGAGGGTAGTTATTAACAACGACCGTTCATTAATAACCCTTACTATTAGTCAAGTATAGAACACCGCCATATACCGACTTGATAGTAGCATTTAATCTCTTAACTCCTTGATGACCTCAACACAACGGCTTCGGTTTAACCAACAAAATTAATCCCTCTTAAGTTTATTAACCACGACCGTGCATTAATAAACCGAAGTTACTTGTGAAACCATCAACGATTAACCATCGGTTCGTTGATCGTTTCTAGTAATAATTAATATATGAAACAAAACTAGTTGATCCTTTAAGTAATGTTCAAAATATGAATATGAAATATGAATAGGAACTAATTAATATTCAAGGTAGAATATTAAAGATGATAAATCCTACTATAACTAATGTCAATATGTTAACTAATTGTCATCTTAGCAACACTCCCCAACATTAATATATAGAGGAAGAAAATAAATACTACTATAACTAATGTCGAGATGTTAACTAATTGTCATCTTAGTAACACTCCCCAACATTAATATATAGATAGATTAAGGGAAAAATTAATATTCAAGGGAAGAAGTTAAGAAAATAACTCACAACTTTAATAATCAACAAGCTTCAAGAGCAACACCAAGAAATAGAAGTTTAGTATTGGATTTGCTTACGGGGGAAGAAGAACGTGTTGAGTATTTAATCTAAATTCAAGCACCTAGCTAGCATAAGTATATTCATGCATACGTACATAGAATATAACAAATGAACACATGTGTCTTTTCTTTTGGTGGTCAAAAGTCTCTACTCTTTTGATTCCCATTTTCTCAATTTATAAACAAAGCAACAACAACTAACCTCCTATGCACGTACAAATGCAGTTACACACACCACTATGAGACCCACTCGGTCACTCACTCCACAACCTCCCATGCATGCGTACCAAGTTATTTACATGCATGTAAATAACCTAATTAATTGACCAACTTAACTAATTGACCCAAATTAGACTAACACTAATGCAACGGCACATACACACATTAGTACCGTTACAACACATGCACGATGTCACGCGACGCACACTACTTGGCATGACTCATCCCGCCGTGCACTAACACTCTAGTCTAAAATGCATCAATGACTCAAAATAAACTAAATTAAACATGATGAAATTAAAAACAACAAGATTAACTCCAACAATCACCCCCTTAATCTTGTTGTCATTTATTTAGAACTCCTCGTGGACCATCACAGCAGTGCCGGCTCGTAGTCGGTGGTCGCGAAGGCAAGATGTGCCTACTCCTTCCTTGGTGCTGTGCAATCCTTGGAGAAATGTCCATACTCCTGACAGTTGTAGTATCGTATCTTACGGATGTCGAATGTACTCTTCTTCTTGCCGTGCCGCCGCGGTAGCGAGAACGCCACTCCTCCTTAGTGAGTAGCAATTGACCTCCACCGCCATGGTCATTGTTGTCGACGCCGTTGTCCGCATCGCTCCTATCCTCCACCGTTTTGAGTCTTCCCACAAGCTCCTCCATGGACATGGTTTTAAGATCAAGAAGCTGTTCAATTGCAATAGCTACCTGGGTGTACTTGGACGGCACGATCCGAAAAAGTTTCTTCACGACCTTCACCTCCTCGAAGGTCTCACCGAGGGTGCGAATCTTGTTGGCGAGTCCGTTCATGCGCATGGCGAGGTCGTCGATCGTCTCACCGCTCTGCATGCGAACGGAATCAAATTCCTTGAGTAGAGTTTCACTACGTGAGAGGAGAGGAATGTATAAGGACAAGTATAAGGAAATGGCGGTCATTAAAATGAGCCTTATTAGTCCCTCATGGGAAGCCGACATTTTTTTTAGATAAAAAGGCAAATAACAAATTAATAAGGGATCCATTGGTTACTAAGTCAAATTGTGCGACTAAGGCAGATAAGGTGCACCTTCCTACTTTAATAAGGGAAATATAACGGATATGGTAGCTCAACTACCACCATATTGTACAATAAAGGACATAAATATATATTTATGGGTATAAGGGATTAATAAGGACTCTCATCCCCTTATTTATCCATACCTCTCGTCCGTTCATTTGTTCATATCCTCTTCGCACAATCGATCCGATCATTTCACTGCTTATTATTAGACCAATTTCCTCCTGTCATTTCTTTGGGTTCTTCGAAGAATACAACTCAGCTGCATCCTTTTGTTTGTAGTAAGTATTATTTTCTACCATATTACTCCGTATTTTTTTTTTCCGTAAATGATGCTTTGACATATTCTGTACATTTTTTGACATTTAGCTGGCCGTATATATGCTTTACGGACGTATTAATTATTTTTGTATTAATTTCTTTTGGAATATTAATTAGTTATTTTTAATTCAATGTTAAGTAGGTGATCTAAGATGGCAGGAGATCGTGATTGGATGTATAAGCGTCGAAATCGGACTTCTGGTAATTTAAACTATGAGTTTGTAGAAGGTGTTAAACATTTCTTAGATTTTGCTTTTACCATATTTGAAACCCCAGGAGAAAATATGGTGAAATGTCCATGTAAAAAATGTAAACTCAGAAAGTACTTTGATAGAGATACAATTGAAACACATTTGTGTAACAATGGATTCACAGAAAATTATTATAGATGGGATTGTCATGGTGAAGAACTGCCAATGAATCCTTGTATATATCGAGGCTATGCACCAACTGGTGTGGAATCTTTTGAAAATGTATCTTCTAGTGACAATTATATTGAACACAATCACTTGTTGGGATGCACACAAATGGTTAGGGAGGTGATGCATCCGTTCTCCACTAACACCGAAAATGAAACCAATGATTTCAATATGTTTCATAGTGGTAATGAAGAAAATCATGATAACGGTCTAGAGAGTAATGAAATGGTGTATGAAAACCCAAACGAAAATGCACGAGAGTTCTATAACCTCTTGGAAGATGCATCTGCTCCTTTGTATAATGGTTGTACGGATCACAGCAGATTATCAGTGGTGTCTGAGCTCTTAAGCGTTAAGAGTCAATATAATATGTCTGATGCCTGTTTTGACAAAGTGGCTTCACTTGTGGAAAGGATAGTTCCAGGTGATAACAAATTGCCGAAGAGCTTATATCATGCCAAAAAGATGGTCGATGGATTAGGATTGCCATATTACAAAATTGATGCATGTGAAAATAATTGCATGCTATTTGATGGTGATGATACAGATTTGGCGTACTGCAAAAGTTGTGGTTCATGTAGGTACGTTGAAGATACGATGGACCGGGGAGGGAAAAAGAAGGCAGTGTCAAAAAAGGTTTTGCGCTATTTGCCGATAACAGAGCGATTGAAGCGAATGTATATGTCATCAAAAACTTCAGAATTTATGACTTGGCATAAAAGAGGTGCGTCATCCACTCGCACTACTATTTCACATCCATGTCATTCAGAGGCATGGAAACATGTTGATCAGACTTATCTTGATTTTGCTCTTGAGTGTAGAAATGTGCGTTTGGGTTTATGCACAGATGGGTTTAATCCAAATTCTGATTTCAGTAATCCATACTCAATTTGGCCTGTATTCATTGCTATATACAATTTGCCTCCTGAACTTTGCATGAAAGAGCCATATATATTTATGGCTATGTTGATACCTGGTCCCCGATCCCCAGGAAGGAACATCGATGTATATTTGAGACCACTTATTGATGAGTTAAACATGTTGTGGAATGTTGGAGTTGAAACATGGGATGCTCATCGAAAGCAAAATTTCATGTTGAGGGCATGCCTTTTATGGACAATTAGTGACTCTCCAGCATATGGAATGCTGTCGGGATGGAGCACACATGGTCGATTAGCTTGTCCTTATTGTTTGGGAGATGGAATTGGCCACCAACCTATCTTGGCATGGTTGGTCAACGGATCATTATGCTGAGGTATAATTAGAATATAAATTGGCACACTTGACTACTTGAGTATTTGAGCTTATAATTAACAAAAAAGTAATTCAATGGGGGTGGAGGGATTCTGATTTGACCATATGATTACTTTTTCTTTTTCTTTATAATGGAGGAACGGAGTGGAGGTGAATTGGTGTGTGGGGTGGTTTGATTTTTAAAAAACCTCATGAAAGGTGCACTATTATGTCAAACCAGGTGCACTATTGTGTCAAACCAGTGCACCAACCAGCACACCTGATAGATTATCCATTTATATACAGAGTATATGCTTAATATCTTCTGTGTATTTGTGTTTAGAAAAAGGTTATGTCTTCAAGGGCTTCTGCTCGCGGTGGTGGTCGGCCAATTCGTGGTCGTGGAAATAATGCTCCCATTGTTGGTACAAGAAGAACCCAAAACTTGTCGGGGGAATATATAAGTAGCCACAATGTTCATCAATCACCCAGCACCCTCCCATCAAATGCAAGTGGCTCTTTTGCTTTTAGGACAAGGGATGAACCATTTACGCAGCCCAGTGGGACACAACAAAGTTTCCCACACACACAGCTCTCATCAAATGGAAGTGACTCTTTTGCTTTTTGGACCAGGGACGAACCATTTACGCAGCCTAGTGGGACACAACAAAGTGTCCCACACACACAGCTCCCATCAAATGGAAGTGGGTCTTTTGCTTTTAGGACCAGGGACGAACCATTTACGCAGTCCAGTGGGACACAACAAAGTGTCCCACACACACAGCCCCGCGATCACATTGTACTCGGCGAGTAAGTAATTTATTTGAAACACCTAAGTATTCTTTTAATGCTTCTATAATAAATGCGGATGATATATGTTTGTTATTAAACTTTCATTAATATTTTAGTCTCAAAGTGAATGATAAAGTGAGAAAGTCTTTGGAAACTATTGCCACAAAGTTGTTTACCGGATGGCCACCCAACTATGGGAATTTAGAACCTGCGGCTCGCGAAAACTACATTAATCAATTCTCGGTAAATACTTATAATTTTATTTTACAGTTTTTTTATGTTTTACTTTCTAACTATTCCGCTTGGTATGCAGAAAGAATATACGTGGGCACCGTCAGATAATGGGCTAATGATTTCCAAACTTCATTCAAAGTTTTCTACTCGTTATACGGCACGCTTGTCAAATATCAGACAAAATGTTCAAGAAAAAATTCCAGATTTTCTTGATAACCAAGATTATACTAGATTCATTCTCTTCCGACCAGAGTTTGTAACCCCTCAGACATGGGTTGATTTATGCAACTATTGGAACACTGATGAATGGAAGAAGAAGTCTGGAATTGCAAAGCGTAATCGTGTTGGTAAGATAAAACATCCATTTGCATTAAGTTAATGAAATTAAGTTGGCAGATTACACGGGTTGATTGAGCTTTTATTTAAATAAAATATAACTATTGTCTAGTTATCTAAAACAATGAAAACTACAATAAATATGTAGGAAACCTTGGTGATGGAGAAGTTACTGCTAAGACAAAAGGAAGAAAGTCGAAAGAGGATTTCTATTCTGAACTCGTGAGTAATTAAAGTTGTTTTGGGTTGACATTGATGTACTATGTATAATTTCTGTTCAATTTTTTTTGATTAATAGGCATTAGAACTTGGCCGAATTCCCACGATGGAGGACTTTGGTGATAAGTGGTGTAAAATTGACCCTACAACAAACCAACCACATCAAACAACCTTTGCTCGTTACTTGGTACGGTGATTGTTAAAAAATATTTTTTGGTGTCTTCTACCCTTTTTCCTTCTAAATGTTCATATAATTATTATTTGCCATGTGTTAATATTGTTTGGAATGTGCAGATTTTCTATGAAAACACCCATACTGGAGAAAAATCAAATAATAGATGGAAGCTCCATTTATGAGGAAATTTTATTAAAGTTTTATTTACTTTTTACTTTGTTTTAAATAGTCTAATTATATTGTAGGCGGTATATCGTCAACGCATGAAAGAAAAGTATGGACCAGATCGGGCACAACATCCGACATTTGACTATGAGATATGGATTGAGATTACTGGTCCTCCAAAAAAGGGACGATTAGTTGGCGTACCAGAACAATTATCTCATCCTCATTTGTTTCAACCATCTAAAGTAGAGGAGGTATACATTATATGTTAAATTCTTGTATCTATGTTTGTGTTTATAACTAAAATCCTCTACTTATAAATGTATTTTATCCAAAATATAAATTAAAAATGTTGAATACTCTACTTTCATTTTTTATCAATCAGATTCTCTTTAGCAGAGATAGTTTGTCTGCTATCACTTTCTTAGCCATTGATATGATTTTAATGTACTTTGCCCTTCTTATAAATTGCCCAGGACTTCATGTTTTAATTAATAACTTGTTATTATTGAATGTAATTGGCGGTTTAGAATTCAGTATTATTGGACATAGGATGGAATCACAATGTAATAAATCTATTTTATCCGTTTGGGAGATTTTTTACTGCTTCATGTTGTTTACTCTATGTTGAGGTCAGAGGCATATGACAATACTATCCTCAAACTGAACTCGTAGGTCATTTCTTGGGTTATTCTCAATACTGCAGTTGTACCATTACACTTATTATAATTATTTTCTGCTCTTTGAAAGAAAAAGTATTTGGCAACAGTTTATTTGCTAGTTTCAAATATTGTTTTATGTTTGATTTTTTCAGAATATGATTATTATAATATTGCAGGATCGATATGTGGTGTTAGAGCGCCAATTTGCTGAGATGAAGACTCAAATGGAGATGATGCAAGTTGGAATGACAGATCTCAAGGCAACTAATCAAAAACTGACGGAGGAAAATCTAGAGATCAAAACCCATTTCAAATCTACCATAAGCAATATTTGGGGTGTTCTAATGAATATGGGCATTTCTACTTCAAACACGATCCCATTTAATTTTGTTGGGGGAGGAGGGTATTCATCTCAACAACACCCACCATCTATGTTTGGGCAGCCTACACAACCTCACCAGCCGTTACCATTCAGACATCAACAACCTGCATCCTTCAGCCAACTTATTCAGATGAACTACGCCCAAGCACAACATGAAACATTGGGGGATCAACCTTCACAGTTTGGTATCACTGGTCTGACACAACCTGCATCATCTGAACGGCGTTCAAGAGCGCCTCCCGTCCATGAAAATCAACCTTCCCTTGCACCACCTATTCTTCCAATGCGACGTACTCGTGAGAGCTCATCTAGCGATAATTCCGATGATGATGATAGTGATGATATGAATGATGACAATTAGTAAAAATGTAACATGTTTTGAATTATTGGTTAACTCTCTGTTATGTGTTCTATGTTATTGGTCAAGACTGCATTTTTGTTTACTAAAACAGTTTCCTTCAATTGGATATGTAAATGGTAGTATGTTTTGGATACTTTGTGTTCTAAAATTCTTCTCAATAATACCAGTAATTATTGTATTTCACAGCATTTATTTTAATATGTTAAATTCGTATATTAGTGTATTATTATTATACCTATACGAAGTATTGTAAAATAATACGTAGTAAAAATTATACTCCGATGATGTATTTGATAAATATACTTATACGTTTATGAGGGAAGAATCCCTTATTAATCTGTTATAGACGGAAATACTTCCCTGTGCAGCTGCGGAACATTATTACGATAGTTGTGGTTATAAATCCGTCATTCCTTATGACCGAAATAAGCCGTTATAAGCCCTTATACTTGTGGGGTTGAGGGAGCACTTTTATCACGGATTTCATAACGACCAATTCCCTTATTGCATATAACAAATAAATGACGGATCCTTTGTTATTAGGATATTTTCATTCACGTAGTGTTTGTGCCTTGGCCTCATGGACACGCTCATCGCCCACACGCATGGTCTTGATGGCGTCCCATGCCTAGCTCCTTTGCCGTCGCCTTCATGGCAAGTGTGGAGAGCATCTCCGGTGGCACGGCTCGCAAAATTGTCGCTAGCGCCACCCTATCCTCGCTAAAGCTCCTGCCACCCTCGACAGATGAACTACGCCCAAGCACAACATGAAACATTGGGGGATCAACCTTCACAGTTTGGTATCACTGGTCTGACACAACCTGCATCATCTGAACGGCGTTCAAGAGCGCCTCCCGTCCATGAAAATCAACCTTCCCTTGCACCACCTATTCTTCCAATGCGACGTACTCGTGAGAGCTCATCTAGCGATAATTCCGATGATGATGATAGTGATGATATGAATGATGACAATTAGTAAAAATGTAACATGTTTTGAATTATTGGTTAACTCTCTGTTATGTGTTCTATGTTATTGGTCAAGACTGCATTTTTGTTTACTAAAACAGTTTCCTTCAATTGGATATGTAAATGGTAGTATGTTTTGGATACTTTGTGTTCTAAAATTCTTCTCAATAATACCAGTAATTATTGTATTTCACAGCATTTATTTTAATATGTTAAATTCGTATATTAGTGTATTATTATTATACCTATACGAAGTATTGTAAAATAATACGTAGTAAAAATTATACTCCGATGATGTATTTGATAAATATACTTATACGTTTATGAGGGAAGAATCCCTTATTAATCTGTTATAGACGGAAATACTTCCCTGTGCAGCTGCGGAACATTATTACGATAGTTGTGGTTATAAATCCGTCATTCCTTATGACCGAAATAAGCCGTTATAAGCCCTTATACTTGTGGGGTTGAGGGAGCACTTTTATCACGGATTTCATAACGACCAATTCCCTTATTGCATATAACAAATAAATGACGGATCCTTTGTTATTAGGATATTTTCATTCACGTAGTGTTTGTGCCTTGGCCTCATGGACACGCTCATCGCCCACACGCATGGTCTTGATGGCGTCCCATGCCTAGCTCCTTTGCCGTCGCCTTCATGGCAAGTGTGGAGAGCATCTCCGGTGGCACGGCTCGCAAAATTGTCGCTAGCGCCACCCTATCCTCGCTAAAGCTCCTGCCACCCTCGACAGCGTCCCACACGCCCGAAAAAATTCGTCACCGTCAACGTCGGGTAGACAACGGTGCTGCTGGCCTGGTGGACGACACGCTGCTGTACCACCACCTCGCGGCCGCCTCGCCGCGTTGGACTCCGCCCACGTCGTACCGGCGAGCGTGACGGAGTGCGCGAACTTTCGCCTATCATGACTCTGAAACCAAATGTTGGATTTGCTTACGGGGGAAGAAGAACGTGTTGAGTATTTAATCTAAACTCAAGCGCCTAGCTAGCATAAGTATATTCATGCATACGTACATAGAATATAACAAATGAACACATGTGGCTTTTCTTTTGGTGGTCAAAAGTCTCTACTCTTTTGATTTTCATTTTCTCAATTTATAAACAAAGCAACAACAACTAACCTCCTATGCACGTACAAATGCAGTTACACACACCAGTGACACCACTATGAGACCCACTCGGTCACTCACTCCACAACCTCCCATGCATGCATACCAAGTTATTTACATGCATGTAAATAACCTAATTAATTGACCAACTTAACTAATTGACCCAAATTAGACTAACACTAATGCAACGGCACATACACACATTAGTACCGTTACAACACATGCACGATGTCACGCGACCACACTACTTGGCATGACTCATCCCGCCGTGCACTAACACTCTAGTCTAAAATGCATCAATGACTCAAAATAAACTAAATTAAACATGATGAAATTATAAACAACAAGATTAACTCCAACATTTCGCTCCTCATTTGGAGACTAAACATGCTATAAAATATAAAAGAAACACTATTCTAAACAGAGCTTAAGAGTATGGAAGAAGGAGTGATTATTTGTGAAGGAAAAGTGTGCTATTTATAGGTGTTTTTCAACACCTTTGGACGGATACTCGACCGGGTCAAGTGCCCACCCGACCGCGTGCATGTCAAAATCAAATAATCTTCCACGTTCTTGTGTTTCAGCACGTCATTTTGTCTCGGGTCACATCTGACCCGACCGGGTGAAATACCTCACCCGACCGGGTGATTGTAGTTTCCAGCCACCTTTGCTTTTCAAAGTCTCACCCGACCGGGTGCAAATTAAAACCTCACCCAACCGGGTGATATTCTTGGGCAGCCAATAATCATTTTTCTATACTTCAAAGTCTTCCTTTCCAACACCATAAATTCTAACTCTACTTTACAACTTACAAATGAGAACTAAAATACAATTACAACTAAAACACACACAAATGTTTACAAACTAAATAAAATGGTAAACAATCCACACAAATCAAACATAAAAAGATACATTTATGCACTACTAATTAGTGCATATCAGTTAACCCCGAAACAAATAGACCATTACAGTTTTAATGTACCAATAATTACGTATTATTATTCATAATTGTATAAATACTTATAAACTACAACAATTACACGGAGTTTGTCTTAATTAATTTTAAATATTGAACAAATAAACAAATTGTAAAAAAGTATATATTCCTATATTGTAAATCATCAAATATATAGAAAATTCAAAGTTGACAAATTAGTATAGTCTCAAATATGAAAATAATAATTTTCAATAGGGATGATAATGATAAATTAATTAATTAGGGTAAATAATGTGTGGTTGGTTGGGGGCGAGATGGAGGAAAGTGGGAAGTCTGATTCTGTGTGCACGTGCAGTTGAGGAAACAGTGCATATCCGACACGAAGCACATCGTCAAACACAGAAACATGTCGTTCCCGCCGGCGCCGGAGCTATTTCCGCCGGAGGTGGCGCACTTGAAGCCGCACCCAAGGCCCTGCTGTAAACACTGGTGCTTGCACTCGTCTCCGTTCACTCCGCCGCCGTTCGCCTCTCTCTTTGCCGTCGACAGAGTGAATGCCACCATTACCACTAGCACCGCCGCTGATAAAGCTATTCCTTTGTATTTCTGATGAGATCCCATCACACCAAATAAAGACTATATATACACTACGTACTATACGTATATTCTTAGCTTATGTTATACGGAGTATTTATTTATTTATTTATTTATTTATTTATTTATTTATATATTTTTATTTTTATTGAGATGATTGGCTTTAATTTGCAGCGATAGAGGTGTGCATGGAGTTATATATACTTGCATACAATTAAGATAGGCTCAGGGATGAAGACTGCCGATCCATTGTGGCTAAGAGTTGGAGCCTAGGGGCTGGGTTCGGGATCATGAAACACATTGAAATTTGCAACAGGTCTGTGGGGGAGTGGGGCAGAACGAAGGCCGGGGACTTGGGTAAAAGGATCCATTTTTGTATAAGACGAATGGAGTATTTGCACAAGTTCTCATACTCGTGGCATTTGGGGTTTTTTAAAAAAGGATTCATTTTTCAATTTTTTTTAATTAATTTTATTAAGTATATTTTTTCCAAAAAGCTACAGGGGTAAAGTTATCCAAACACGCATAATTAGTGTTATTGGGGAATTTAAATTCATGACTTTTAGCTACCTTTTACTCGGTAATTAACCCAAAACACAATATACTACGGATATGCACACATCATTAGTGCATAAGTGTTTCTTTTTAGGATTAATTTGTGGTGCTTTGTATTTAATTAGTTCATAGGTTTATGGTGTTTGATTTTATGTTCTTTATTTGTGAGTAAAGCATTGTTATTTGTTAAGTTTGTAAAATAGAATTAGTTAGTTTTGCATTTGATAAGGATGAGCTTGGAAGACAACAAAAGGATAAAAGACTAATTTCGTGCAATACCCGATCGGTCGATCGGGTATATTACTTTACCCGATCAGGTTTGAAGAGAAAAGGAAAGCTACTGGGAAATTGGACTGATACCCGGTCGGATATGTAACTTTACCCGGTCGGGTATGACTTGACCCGGGCAAACATACATGTTGAAGAACACAAAGACGTGGAAAAATATTTGATTTTAACCGATACCTGGTCGGGTATGTACATTTACCCGGTGGGGTATCCGGTGCAAGATGGTGAAAATACCTATAAATAGCACATTTTTCCTTCACATTAATCATCCCTTCTTCCATATATATAAACTCAACTTAAAATAGTATTTTCTATATATATTTCTAGCATTGTTTAGTCTCTAAATGAGGAGCTAAACTTTCATTTATTGGTTTTGCTCTTGAAGCTTGTTGAATGTTAAAGTTGTGAGTTATTTTCTTACTTCTTCCCTTGAATATTAATTCTTTCCTTATTCTATCTCTATTGTAATGTTGGAGAGTGTTGCTAAATGA